AATATATACTAATGCATTCTTAATTCTTTGAAGTTCATCATTTATATGTTTTAAACCATCTTACATAATTAAATTCAAGATATGACACACACAACGAATATGAAATAAATACCCACCAAAATCATATTGAAGTATTCTACACAATTTATTGATGACTACCTTATTAACACTAGCATTATCAAAAGTAAAAGACTGAATTTTAGTCTCATAATTATATTCTCTAACAATACTGATAATAGCATTATATATATTATTAGCATTGTGCGGAAATCCAATAATTCTAAGAGTAATAATTTTCTTATGCATGCACCAAAGTGGGTCTATATAGTGTGCAGTTGCAGTTATATATACTATTTTATTAACCACTTCCAATATATCAGAAGTTAAAGATATAACACCCCCATATTGTTGCAAATTCATAATTAATTGTTGTTTTGAATTATTGAAATATTGTATTGTATCGGCACGAAGAGTGTTTTGACTTACCCCAACGTACCTCGGTTGCAGATATTCTTTCACGAACGAGACAAAGTGTTGGTTGTCTGCAATAGTCAGAGGCAACTCAGTGGCAGCTACAAATTTCACCATTCCTGTTCGAGTATTGTCCTCCTAATACACCCGCGTGGATAGAGGTGAAGTTGTAGAACCGGTGCCTGGACTGCCAAATTGCAATTGTGTTTGACCAGTTGGAAGAAGTCCATATATGGCCGCACATGCTTTGTAGTGGTAGTTGAGATGGGTGGTACCAATTCCTTTTTACCATGTCAATCTTTGTTGGCAGTATTTATATACTGCTTTAGATTCTGCAAGGCTATTGACGACTTTTCCTGTTGAAATCAACTTAAAGTGATCCCAACATTTTACTTTTTTTTTGCCTTTCGCTTTCCCCTCGCATCTAGGATGTTTAATTCGGCATCTTCGTCCTCATGTTCCGCTTTGGGAACGTTAATAGCATCCTAATCAATTGGATTGTGACTTCTCTGACCGTAAATGTGAACATCTTCAGGTATGGGTATGTCATCTAGACCAGCAAATTCATTTAGAAATTGACTTTACGGCGTCCTAGGCGATTCACCATGATGTGTCCCACATCCCGTACCGAATAAGCTCTCAACAAATGAGCGTTGATCCATTTGTTTGATTGTTTATGATGAAATTCAAATATAATAACTAGAAGAATATAAATGTAATGAGATTGTGAGAATTGGATGAATTGAAATTGTAACTAATAAACTATAAAAATTGAATTGATATTGTATATTTTACAGCACAAGAGAGTAAAAACTCGATAATTGATATAATAAAAGAGAGTTGGAGTAGATTGAGTAATTGATATGAAAAAAAAATAAAGGAGGATTAAGGGGTATTTATAATAGAAGGGGGAAAAAATAAAATTTCAATGACCATTTGGTTTATTCAGTGACCAAATGGTCACTGAAAAAGTGACCAAAACGGTCACTTTTTTCAAAAAGTGACCGTTTTGGTCACTTTAATAGGGGCTCATTGCGAAGTAGCTCATGGCTCGTTATTTTGAACGAGGCTTGTGGCTCGTTCAAATGAGCCCATGAGCGGCTCGCCTCCCGGTGAGGCCCGCTTGGCTCATGCACGGGCTAGTGATTTTACGAGCCCGAGTTGCCCACAAGCCCTATTTTCGGGAGCCGAGCCGCTCGGCCCTTTTGACCTCCCTACTGGCAGGTGCCTAACTATCTCTTAAAAGTTAAAATCCCCGGGTTAATTGCTTCACATAACGATCTTTGGGTTTTTCATTTGAAAAGGCTTACATTCTGAATCAGGACAACAAAATCTTTGATTAGGCTGATTCAGCGGCTTAAGTGAACTGCAAACAGTGTTATATTGCTCTAATACTTATATTATCTGGGTGTGGGGGTGGACTAGTGTAGGTAGGGATTGTTGTTACTTTCGTAGCATTCTCTTGACACAGTAAATGCAAGAAGGAAGAAATGACCAAAAAAAATAAAGAAAGAAAGAAAAGATGGAAGTAATTATCTGTGCTACTCTTGGAGAAAGATTATATGATTAATTAGACTAACCGATAAGGATTAATTTACTTGCTTTTACACAATAATTGTCTAAGATTGAATCTACAACCGAAATATCCTAATTAAAGAGCATGGCATTCATTTCAAGCCAATTCTCTAATTGCTTGTCCTTGTGGAAAATGATTTTTGCAACATAAGCTCCTTTTCCCTTCTTGATCCAGGGAACTGAACTTGCCATTTCTGAGGTTGGAGTAATTCAGACAAAAGCTTCAACTTCTACAAGCAGAAATGTTCTGTCATGTGGAAAGTTTCTAATAACATAGGAATATGTGCAAGTTTAGCAGTATCAAAAATCTAACAAAGATTATATAAAATCTGTCATCTGATGGATTGCAGCATATTAGTACTAAATGGAGATAATTGGACTTCCACCTAGCGTAGAGATTAAAGGAAAAAAAAAAATCCTAAAATAGAAAGTGAAATATTAGCACTTACCATGATATCTTAGGTAACCTCAATAATTAAGGAGCCGGACTTTAATCTTCGCCAGTGATGCGACAACATCTCTCATGCTTGGCCTGTTTTCAGGAGATTCTGCCGAGCAATTTACAGCCATATTCATAATGGATGATATACACTTCAATTTTTCGCTTATGTTTTCTCGTTCTGCACTTAGTAAGTTGGTATCTACAACCTGATCTATGGCATGAGGAACTGAATTAGTAATCCAATTCCTCAGGCTTAACCCTTCTGAAAACATTTCATCAGTGGGCCGCCTACTTGTAAAAGTTTCCATCAACATAATGCCGTAACTATAAACATCACACCTCATTGTAACTATTCCTTCCACTCCATATTCTGCGAAGTATTATGTCATGTAATACAATTATTGATTTGAAAAGGATATTTAACTATTTTTCAGGAGAATATAATAGTTGAAGCATTATGAAAGCCACAAGATTCACCTGGTGCCATATAACCGATTGTAGCTAGGGTCGTGGTATGCCTAATAGTTTCTTCCTCTCCTAACAGTTTCGCAATGCCAAAATCGCTCACATGTCCAACCAGATCTTGATCTAGCAAGACATTGCTAGGCTTCAAGTCGCAGTGAACCACCGGAGTTGTGTAACTGTGGTGGAGATACTCAATTGCATGTGCTACATCTGTCATAATGTTCAATCTCTGAATAATATCCAAGGAATGACCATCAGAATGCAACCACTCTTCTAGGCTCCCATTAGGCATGTACTCAAGGATTAAGGCCTTAAAATCAGGGTTGGAACAGCTGCTTATAACTTTGGTGAGATTCCGGTGACGAAGATTTTTTAACACTTCACACTCTATTTCGAAACTCTTGAATGCACCTTCCAATTGCAAATGAAACACTTTTATGGCAACAGTTGTCCCATCAGTAAATGACCCTTCGAAAACTGATCCAAAACTTCCTCTGCCAAGCAAGTTTCTATCATTAAACCCATCAGTTGCTTGTTGAAGTTGATAGAATGAAATTCTTTGAAGCATTTTATCAGGTATTGAATCAGCTTGAGCTTGAATTTGTCTTCTCCGGTATCTCAACCACAGAAGTATCATGACCAAGGTGACTGCTGCCAATGCAGTTGTTATTGGAATAAGTACGGCTATCAGCACTTTCTTATTCTTTGATCTGTGCGAAGAACTACCTTGACAAGGTGGGACATGGAATTTAGGTTTACCACAAATGGCTTCATTTGACATAAAAGAAAGGTAAGTAAAATTCTCAAAGGGTCCTCCACTTGGAATTTCTCCACTTAATTTATTGAACGATATGTTGAAATACATTAGATTTTGAAGGGCCTCGAGGGACCTTGGGATCATGCCGGTGAGACTGTTGTTGGATAGATCCAGAAGTTCTAAACTAATCAATTTCCCCATTGAGTCTGGAATAATTCCTTCAAATTTATTATCAGCCAAGGACAGACCGACCAAGTTTGGCAACTCAGTTATTGTACTTGGGATATAGCCTGAGAACTGATTCTTCGATAGATCTATTGCAATCGCAGCCTGCAATTTTGCAACTTCAGGCGGTAGGGATCCAGTCAAGAGGTTTGAGGTCAGGTTGAAATACAGGATATACTTAAGATTCCAAAGGCTTGCAGGTATGCTAGATGTTAATTTGTTGAAACCAAGAAAAAGATATCTTAGAGAAGTAACATTGCCTAAGCATTCAGGCAATGCTCCAAGAATTTGGTTACGGATCAAGGACACTTCAAACAAGTTTGGCAAATGACAAAGACTCGTTGGAATTATTCCTCCTATGTTGTTGAACTGACAATATAATCCCTGCAACTGCTGCAAACCATTGAATTCATACGGAATAAATCCACTCAAATCATTGTGAGATAAATTTATTACTATCAAGTTGCTCAAGTTACTTATCTGTTTTGCTATGCCACCCTTAAGTTCACAATAACTCGCCTCAAAGGTATTAAGATTAGAGATGTTCCCAATGGATTCTGGAAGGATGCCATTAAGAGGATTAACACCAACTGAAATTTGTCTTAGATATCTACATCTGGTCAAGGAAGTGATGAAGCTCAGCTCTTGATCAGCTTCCAAATTGTTATGATGGAAATAGAGAGATTGGAGGAATTTTAGGTTACCAAGACTATCGGGAATAAGACCAGTAAACTGATTATGAGAAAGGTCTAGATCCGATAGCTTCGAAGAATTTGAGAGAGAGTTGGGGAAGACTCCTGTGAGGTTATTTAGGTCAAGATAGAGCACTTCAAGATTAGGCATGTTATTGCCTATACTTGATGGAAGAGAGCCTGAAAGGGAATTATTGACGAGACTTAACTTTTTTAAACTCGAGATGTTGAAGAGGATGTCTGGAATAGAGCCCCTCAAGCTATTACCATGCAAATTTAGTTCTTCCAATCCATAAAGATATCCAAGCTCCTGGGGTATAAAGCCTGCGACATTATTTTGTGCGTTAGTGCCTACAAATGGTTAATAACAACCTTAATACAATCCAATATACAGTTCTTTGTATCCCGGAACATGCTTATTTCAGTTGGAAATGATGATGACTGCTTAAATAGTGAAAATATATAAAAAAAAAATTTATATTGAAATACCCATTTGGGAAATATCAACCAAATACTCCATTTTCTGTGGTGGTGAAAAATTTTTAACCATACCTTCTAAAATGTTGGATTGAAGATATAACGCCTTGAGCATAGTCAGATTCCCTATTTCCCTTGGAATGTGTCCTCTTAATTTGTTCCTATACAGGGCCAATACTTGAAGCTCTGTGCATTCTGATATATCCAATGGAATTTGGCCATTTAGGCTGTTAGATCCGAGCGACAGAAATCTGAGTTTTGTTACATTATGGCACATTTCTTCTGGAATATTGCCGTACAAGAAATTGTCCTGAAGACTCATAATTTCTAGTGAAGAGATCTGCAATATTGATCTTGGTAAAAAACCAGAAATTCGGTTGCTTCTAATTCTCAAAATTTTCAGGCTACCAAGATTACCAATATCTAATGGAATCTGTTCTGCTAGAAAATTGAAGTTCATGTTTAGGATCTCCAGCCTCGACAGGTTACAGAGTGAAGATGGAATGGCTCCTTCAAAAGAGTTGTTAGCAATAATCAACTGTTCAAGATTTGGTAATAGACCAAGACTTGGTGGTATCCCCCCAGAAAAATCGTTGACACTAATATCCATGAATTTTAACCGGCGCAAGTGAGCTAACTCTTCCGGAAGTTCGCCGTGAAAATGATTGCTACTAAGATTAAGGTAAATTAGAAAGGATAGGTTTCCCAACTGCGGAGGGATGCTACCTGTTAACCCCATGTTTGAAAGATTCAACTCTGCAACTCTGTGATGGCGCAAATTGCAGGTGACTCCAATCCAGCTGCATACCGAGGCATTGATGGACCAATTTTTAGCTATCACTCGTTTGGGATCTATAGTGATATTCTCCTTTAAAGAAAGAAGAGCAGATTGATCAACATTTACGCCTGCAATTGGTCTGGTTAAGAAAGACAAGTTATATGACATCAGTACAATTGCCAAAGAAATCAGAAAGCAGATTCTTTCCATGTTAATAATATTCTTTTGGATTGTTATAGTCTATTCTGTGATATGCAGCACCTTTGAGTTCCTTAAATAAGAAGCTCCTTCGTTCTACCCCAATCGTATGAATCTTTGTAGTCTTTAGTGGATAATTTGAGCATTATGTAGTGCGTAGTCTTTTGTTATTTGGAATTAGTCTTAGTCCCTGTTTTACTGTAATTAAGTCAAAACTCTTTATTTCTCACACACTTTCAACCACACATTTATATAATAAAATATCCTGCATGTAAATCCAAATTTTTTTCATACTTTCTAATCACACATTCTACAAAAAAATCACTACTCAAAACATCGTTTTTCCCAATTTCTCGACCATCAAAAGGGCTTAGTTTGATGTTGTGTACTCATTTTGCAGTCACTTGCATTTTCTTGGTATTTCTTGTTTTAGGCCATGTTTTGAACCACATAAATTATATTTTTTCGGTCTCTTTTTTCGATTTGGCCTAAATCGGAATTAGTGCTTATTCACAACTCAAAGAATATTTTCCTCCAAGGTTAAGTAACCACGAAAGTGGTTCCAGAATATATTTTGTATGCAATCTTTAACGTTATACTAGTTTATATTTGCGTGTACTCTACGGTGATGTAAAACTCACGTTCATTCCAGGACTTGGCCTGAAGCTATGCATTTGCTGGCATTGACTGGAATTTATTGCAAGTCAATGCATCATTTTCAGAACAGATATTTCCACAAAAATGTGAGCTTTGCTCAAACTAATCCATGACTTTGTGGCCAAGAAGAGTCTTCACATTTTGATGGTAAAGATAACTCTCACTATCAGACGTTTGTATACTAGGAATTTACTCTAATGTAGATAAAAATTTAATTTAAATGGAAAAATAATTAATTCAACTATCGATTTGCCACCATTAATCGAAATTAAAATTAATCACGCGGAATTTATCTTAAACACTAAGAGCCTGTTTGGGTCCGATTTTTTTACCCAAAAAATTGATTTTTTGACCGTTATTTCACTATTTCAACCGTCATATTTAACTTCTTCTCTCACAGGTGGACCTCACTTTTCTTCTAACGGTCAAAAAATAAATTCTCAAAATCACTCCCAAACAAGCTCTAAATAAGACTTTTAGTGATCCATTTGCCGCAGCATGGCTTTTCAGTCAGTCGATAAGAAAATTTCTTCCAGTGAAATGCAATCCCATATTCCCAATCAAAGACTAAGTTTAACCAAGACCAGGATGTGAAAGAATTCCTATCAAAAAAGTGACTTCATTATAATAACAAAATTATTATCCAACTCAGTGGTTAAAATTTAGGGCCTAATCAACAATTAATATCCAAAGTCCTACTTTATTGCAGTCCAAATTTTACTTTTAATTGTTAAGTCTTTGATTTTACTTTTGTCATACACTCAATTAGCATTGATTTTACTTACTCATGTTTGGAATTGATTTTAATCAGATTTTAATCTAAATCAAAGTTAAACAATTAATATTAATCACATATTTTCATAAGTCCTATAACTTTTCAATCACACATCTCAAGAATTTTATCAAAATCTACTAAAAAAATCTAATTTTAATCACATTTCAGTACAAATTTTAAAGTGTATGTTATAAGTTTGATTCAAAGTTCATTTCTAATAGATTCCGAGTTTTTTAAAATATAAACAAAAATGAGTACGTTTGTTGGATTTGATTGAAATGAATTGGATGTTCTATACGGTTAAAGTTCAAGGTAAATTTTTTAAACTTTAAATTCAAATTTGATGAGTCGAGATTCACAAATTTGTAGTTCAAACTTTGAGCTCGAGAAATGTAATGTTCACAATATATGCAAATTCTCAACAACCACTAATTCATTCGTTGTGATATTTTCGAAAAATCAAGAACTTTAGTAACAAGGGTTGCTCTCTCAACTATGTCATTAGAAACTCAATTCATATGTCTACATAAACGTCTACCAAATAACAAATAGAAATCTAAACGATGCTTACCAGAAATAGCAACCTCGAAAACTTGGACATACTGAGATTAGTCGTGCAATCATCACCTTTACATATAATATTTTTGTGGTAGAATCATGAATGTTTTAATCTAGTAGGTTTTTTTTCATGCCTCATATTTTTAAAAGGTTATTTTTATTATTATTTGCAAGATTTTTTTTTTTTTTTGAGTTAATTGTCCCAATAATCACTAAACTTATGTGTGTATTTTCAATTGGCTTACTTAACGTATTTTTATTTGCATGCACCCTACAATGAACTACCCACTCACTTTCATTTCAGGAATTGGGTCTAAATTTCTGCATTAGCTGGCATTGACTGGAATTTATGGTATGTCCATGCATCATTTTCAGGACAAATATTTCCACAAAAATGCAATCTTTGCTCAAACTAATCTATGAATGTGTGGCCAAGAAGAGTTGACATTTGGATGGTCAAGACGACTATAACTATCAGTCGTTTGCATTATGAATTGATCACAAGATAATGACAATAATGAAATACGCAAGAAAAAACAACACCAAAATTTATGTGGAAACCCAATACGGGGAAAAAAATCACAGATAGAGGAGAATAAATCCACTATAAAAAATAGTAATTGTGTTTTCAACAATATCTCAATACTCTCAACTAAAATCTAAAACTCTCAAGATGTTGTGTGAATGTTATTGAAACTATAAAAGCCATTACTTATATGTATGAAACCCTGGAAATCAAGTTGTAGATAAATAGGAGGCCAAAAGCGTTAAAATGCGAAATGGGCTTGGTTTAGATTAACCTGTCGCTTGAACGACGAGCGAGCGACAGTCCCGCTGCTCGAGAGCCAGACAGGCAACAAGTTTCTGTAGAAAATATGTAGGTACCGGTCCAGTGGCCAGCTAGCAAAAATGCGACGACTTTTCTTCTCGATTCATAATTTTGATCTCTTCAAAACCACTTCAACTAAAATTTCAATACCCACTAGAATTTGGGTCACATTATGATAAGTCCATTCGCATTTTTAATCAGTTTCTTCCATCTGAAGTCACTAAAAATTAGCCCAAGTTGTTATCAATTTCTTAATGAGCAAGTCTTTCCCATGTAAAAGACAAATTGAAGGCAGCCACCCAATTTGACTCTCCATCAATGAATTATGTAGCAGGTTTTTGAATTTTAAAACGGTTTGTACCTAAAATTTTTGTATAAATAGAGGTCTATTACAAAGGGAAAATTTTCTCCTATTACAAAAGAAAAAAAGGGAGAAAAATAGCATGGAGAAAAGAGAATAAGAGAGATTAGAGAGAGGTTTTTTTTTTTTTTTTTTTTGTTTGGGAAAGTTTGTAATACTTCATTTTATAATTCTATTCAAGTAAGAAATAGAATAGTTTTTCCTCTTTCATCTTATCTTCTCGTGATTGGAGAATCACAACAAGTGGTATTAGAGCAAAGTTTATCAATGGGCCCTTGTAGTTTTTTTATATAGCTTTGATTTTGATAAAGCATTTGCAAGCCAAGATGTCAATGGAGGAATCTTCATTGGGAGCTATGATCAAGCTCACTACCACCAATTATACACTATGGAGGCCTCGGATGGAAGACTTCCTTAGTTGTAAAGATTTATATGACCCCCTGGAAGCCAAAGGTGTAAACCCCGATCATACCAAGGAAACAAGTGAAAGAAGATAAATAGGAAAACTATCAATCAAATTCGACAATGGAATGACCATAGTGTCACTATGCGGCACAGGAGACAAATGCATATGCCCTGTGGAAGAGTATGAAGGACATGTACTAGGCCAAGACCGCTCAGAATAAAGCCCTGTAGGTGAGGCGTTTGGTGAATCTGAAGCTAAAGAAAGGAACTTCAGTTATTGAGCACACCAATGAATTTCAGAGCTTGGTAAACCAATTGTCATCCGTAGAGATACCTCTGGGGAATGAAATGCAAGCCTTACTATTTTTAAATTGTCTACTTGATAGTTGGGAGACACTAGCAGTATCTCTCAACAACTCAATCCCTGATGACAAACTTACCGTGTCTATGGTCAAGGATGCCCTATTTAATGAAGAGACCAAAAGAAAGGACGTCGACACAGACCAATCACATACTTTGTCACAGAGAACCGTGGAAGACAGCAAGAAGGCATTCGAGGCAGGGAAAGAGGCAAAAGCAAAATAGGGGTAGATCCACATATGGAAGGAAGCCTACTTACAAGTGTTATTATTGTGGAATGGAGGGCCATTTGAAGAAGAAATGCCGAAAATTGGTACGAGAGCAAGGCCAGAATAATTCACAGCCGGAAAATAAGGAAGGAAAGATACTAGTCACTATTTCTAGAGAGGTGGCCATCTGCTTCATCCATTTGTTTCCCTTCTTCTTTCTATAACCTACCTTACGTCTTCCTTGTATAATCATCATCAGATTACCCTTGCACTTTGATTAATCACATAGTTACAAACCCAAACAAACAAGAACCAAGATATTGAGTGGGTAATAGACACTGCAGCATCTTACTACGCCACTCCACGCAGAGACTTCTTCATAACATATAAAGTTGGAAACTTTGGTACAGTAAAGATGGCAAATACCAGTTCCTCTGAGATCGTGGTAATTGGTGATGTTCAGATATAAACGAACATTGGGTGTAAAATAATCCTGACGCATGTGTGACATATACCTAATCTTTGGTTAAATCTACTTTCTGGGATAGCCCTTGACAAACAGGGATGGTACATGGAAAATGATGAAAGGTTTCATGGTTGTCGCTTGAGAAGATATATGTGGCACTTTATACAAGACTCGTGTGAAAATGCATATGGATAGCCTCAACGTAGTAGAACATGAAGCTTCTCAAAATTTATAGCACCAAAGACTTGGTCACATGAGTGAGATGGGGTTCTCCATTTTGACAAAGAATGAGCTAATCATGGTTGCCAAGGAAGCTGCGCTAGATCCTTGCAGTCACTGTCTATTTGGTAAATAACATAGAGTCTCCTTCAATTTCTCTTCGACAAGACGATCAGAGTTGCTCAATCTAGTACACTCTGATGTTTGTAGTCCCTTGAAGGTTTAATCACTAGGCGGTAACAAGTACTTTTTGACATTCA